ATATTATTTTCCTTTAAGTTTCAAAGTCTTCATCCACTTCAGGTAGATTATCCTTCACTTGAGTTCTTCTTTTTTCGCCGTCGCAAGATTTCATATCGGTTGATTATTTCTTTTAGATGTGAAGTAAAGCAACCTTTACTTCTTTGAAAATCGTCTTTTTATCTTAGTTTCTATCTGCTGCATTCACAGTGGCCGCTCAACACATCAAATACACACTCTTAGGTGAGCTTCTCACAAAAGTAGAAAAAAATCCTTGCGCCACCATCTTTGTTGTAAATTTTCGTCTTTTAATCTCGCGCTTCTTTCGCAAAGTTCTCTTGCACGTGACGCAAGAGTTATCTGTTCCCCGCACGAGGAAACTAGTACGATCCACCTTAAATCATGATCACCCCATTATGGTGTTCTTGAAATTGTTCCTTGTAAGTTTCGAAACAGTTGTATAAAATTTGTTTTCCTTTACCTTTGATTATCTTGATATTTTCAGCACTTTGGCACAAAGAAAAATAAGAAGTGCCATGGTTTTAAAAATTTTTATCCACAATGCATGAATAACAGCCTCAATGATAACTCTGACCTCAACATATGTGTTATTATTATCCAAATGTGCTTCGTAGAGTACAAATAACGCGCTAGATGAGTATAAATATCACATAATATTTGTACTCCAGAAATATCTGCAAAATTCGCCCGCACTGAAATAAAAATTTGGCCTGTTGGATAATAAATCTCTTTTTAAACTATTTGTTGTGTAGTATCGCTGAGGATTTTTACTTGTTAGTTGTATTTTGACTTGCCCTATGGGTTCCTCAAAATACGGCACAACTCGTAAAAATACTCAGCGATACCACACAACAAAATGTCTAATAAGATATATTTATTTTTATGATAATTACATTTTCAAACATGATTCCACACGGTTTAACTTTCCTCCTGTTATCATATTTGGAAGATACAGGTTAGACCAAGTATAATATTTAATTATAACCCTCAACTGTACAGCAATTGATTTTTTTTTTTTTTTAAATTTGTGTTTGTTTTGTTTGTCTATTGTAGGAGTGGACAATATGTGTACAAGCCAACCATGAAAAAAATGTGTTGTCCATCTTATACCATAAAGTAGGTTTAACCTCCCATTTAATTTTCACTTTATCACCTGTACTTATTAAAATTAAACATACTGTGATTGCAAATAGAAGTAACCTTGATCTGTAAGACTAATACATGTCTTGATGATAAAAGAAATTTAGCAACAAGGTGATTGTGTTGTTGAGTAATATATTTGGCATAATAGAAATTGTGTGATAAACCTTATCCTCAAGGGTAAACTGCTATAATGGAAATTGCAGATTTTAAACCTAAAGCTTTGGGAGGGCTATCACCCGCGTGCACTCTCATATTTTAGTTGGTTACTCTTACCAATTAAACTACTTTTTTGTCTTATATTTTCACACATAATTTTTTTCTGAAGCGTCTCAATGAGCCAGAATCTTAAATCTTCAAACCTGATTGGCTAATTGCACACTCACAATCATTTCTGTCAGCTTTTTATGATTCTGACCATGGTCCAGAATTTTTTCATACTGTTCACAGAAAAATAGAAAAAAAAAGCAAACCAGTGTAAAGAAATGAAAATCTTATTTACTGCTCTCAATCCTCTTGGCCACCCATAAGACCTTGGGCACAGTTTTTTTCCTTAGTTTATACTCCTCTTGCTAGAAAAATAGCATATTTATTTTCAACCATTTAAGAATTTTTAAGAAAATGAGAGAGGGTCTTGGGGAGTACTAACCACCCACAACTGTTGGTGAGGGTTTCCCAGATAATTAACAAGTGTTACATTACACCACACTACCTAAAATTGTGAGTTTCTTGATCTTTTTATTTCATGCAGATGTGATGCATTGTCATTCAACCCAAGCAAATCACAGAAAAAAGTTCTTAAGAAGATGACCAAGTTCCTTACAGTTCCCAAACCTGGTATTTGTAATGTGACAAGTTGATTGTAAAACAGTTTAACATAAAAAGCTTCATTAATTAATGAACAGTGAGATCCAATGGCATTATGGGTATACATGTTCTGCATGTGGTGAATGATGGAAGCTATCCAGAGCTGGAGAGAACAGTATGATCCAAAAAAGATCTACCCTTTGATTATTAAATTTTCAAACATTCCCCACAAAGCCTTTGGGTCTTATATTCTTCATCAATACCACTTTTTAGTTGTCAAATGGATGTTTTTGAAACCAAGTATTTTTGCTCAAAATGCTCGGCAGCCAACTCTCCTCCTTACAACTGGGATAAACTGTCTGGGTTCACAAAGGCAGACTACCCATGAATGACAAAGTTAACTTTGACATTTTTCAAAATTCAGAGTCAAGTTCCAAGGCTGAAGGCAAAGATGCAGCTGGGTACCCTTCTGGAGGATTGGATGATACTCATGAAGCAGCTTTTGTGGAACCTCTACCTGGAATTAAGCCATCTGAATCAGTCAAGGCTAGGGATATTAGCTATGATGAATTAAGAAAGAAAAATTTAAGTGGAGTTAAGGATTGGAAGACTACAAAGGGAACAGTGGATTTACAGGCATCAGCATCTACAGGTCAAACAGCATTTGAATCAACAAAGAAAACCAAGCCAGTTAAAGGCAAGACGCCAGGTGAATCTCCTTCGAATTTTTTCTTCTGTTTGTTGTATTGTGGCATTTTGTCATGCTTCACTTACACATAGCCTTTTCTTGAAATTCATAGCACCTGGTCAAGGACATGATCCAAGCAAGCCTCCTTGTCGCAAAGCTAAAATCCTTCGTCAAGAAAGGAAAATGAAGAAACTTGCATTGTTGAAAGAGGAACAGGTTGGTTCATGGTTAGAAAATCTTTCTTTGTTTGATTTAGGGTTCAGTTGATAATCAGCTGTCATCGGACAAGTGAGCCCATGCTACTCTCCCAAAGAAGGGAGGGTAACAGAGACCACACCCAAGAGAGGTGCCAGTCAAACCTGTGTCTGGTAATGTTATAGTCTCTTAAGTCAGGCAAAAACAACCTTTGTAATACAGAATTAAGAACTACAGATATAATATCTGTTTATTTGTTTAAACAGCAGTGTAATCAAAAAAGAAATTCCAAATGAAATTTTCAGAACACTTGTTTCTGGGATGGGGAGGGTGGAGAAAGAGGACAAAAATAGGAGAAGTGAGAAAAATCCTCATGGCAATATAAGAACCAAATGTTTATGACTCACTGAAGATCAGTGATTCTCCAAATGCAGATGTTGATTCCCAGATTTGTTTTTCATTTCAATGACCAGAAAACTGATTCAGAATCTCCATCCAGTTCTCAAAATACCAGAGTCTCTGTTACTAAATCATTAGAAGACTTAATGATTGACAGATTGCCCAGTCAATCACCAGTTCACAATCTCCAGGTACATGTGTTGTTCTTTTTGTCAATATAGATAGTATAAACAGACTGATTTTTTGTGGTTGATTATAATGATATCTCACCTTCCTGTTGTATACCATCTACCCACATAAATTCCATTCAGGAGTGTACTAAATTAGTTCATGCTGATTGTTATCAGATTTTATTACACGACTCGGGCAGTCAGAGGGCCAATAACTAACATCAACCAATCAAAATGCTCTATTGCCGGTCCAATATTCTCTAAGTATTGGACCGGGCACTGTCCCGAATGGTCCCGAATGATACTGCACTTGTGTCCCTTTGAACTTCAGTCGTATAATAAATCTCTTATTAACCAAGCTTGCTCGGGACCATACTGGAAGAATATCGGCCCTCAGTCTTTTTTGTACTGACCAAGTGCAGCTCGGTCCGTACAAAAAAGACCTCAGGCCAATATTCTCCCAGTATGGCCCTCGTGCTTGGTTAATAAGATATATTCAATCACTGAATGATTTACTTTTTTTACTCTGTGTGACCTTATTACAATGATGACAAGTGTCCTGCATTAGTCAGTGGTAAGACTTCTTATCAAGGGATACTACTACTGCTATGCCATTTTATTTTTTGAGAAAGTAAAGGACAGTAGCTAGTGAGCTAGCAATCAGAAGCAAAACTTCTGTCAAGAGCCATTTGGATTCTTTTCCCAAAATTAATATTCCTTTGTTATCAACTGAAAATCATCTTCTGTCAAAAAGCACTTTAATATACTATTTATGTTACAAAGGCAGATGCTTCTGCCGGTTGGCTCATGTGGTTATGTACATTTAGGTGGTCATACCTGTAGTACACAACCAGAAAATCAACTTGTGAAGATTTTCTCAATATTTAAACATGTCAACATGACTTTACTTTACTCATAGATCAAGCTGATCCCATCAAATCGAAACAGCCAGCAATTCATTGAAACCTTGCCAGAGACCAGAGAGTTGTTTTTTAAATACCAGCAAGCTATTCATGGGGACCCCCCTGAAAAATGCACAGATAAAAGGGTATTGAGTTGAAAATTTTATTAAAAGAAGGAGGGGTGGTCACTTCTTTTCCATCATATGCATTTCATGAAAACCTCACTTCCCAATTTACCTAGTCATTTTAAAACATGTCCCACATGAAAGAGTGAATTAAATTATATTTGCATTGCAAAATTACAGCTTCAGGGATAGTGAACATGCAATATGGCTCAAAAATTTTGTTCACCAAAGGTTTATCTCAAGAATGCCATTAAGAAAATAAAATTTCAACTTGATATTAAGTCTTAAGGATTGCAAATTTTTTGTGTTTGTCAGATAAATCAGAAATCAGATTTGTTCAAGTCAGTATTTGAAAAGTGACCATTTTTGTGAATAATTATTATTCTCAGGTCAAATTGGTGAGAGTGAATTTGCAGTGTGATGAATTTAGAACAACATACCAACAGACTTGTGCTCTCTTTGCAAAATATCAAATAGCCATCCACAAGGACCGCCCTGGTGAATGTGGTGAATCGCAGGTTAGGTGCAGCTAATAATAGTATTTTTTTTGTGAGTCATCCAGGCCTTTTTCAGTTTTTCCTTACCCTGCTCATTAATTTGTCTACAAAACTTGTGCTACTTTTTCAACCAATTGAATTACTTTGGTCTATTTCTTTGCTTCAGCTGTGAGCTCTCACTGTGATGCTTTTCTTTGTTTTCATTGACTGTTGCATTCAGTTTGGTTTTGGTTTTGGTTTTGGTTTTGCAACACTCAGATAACAAGTACTCTATATCATCATTAAATTGTACAGAAAGCTCCTCAAACTTAGTATTTTGCAGGAGATATCTTAATTTATTGACATCTAAGGGAAATTTGAATTCAATTCCATTTACATCCACTGGATTTTGAAGTGACCACCCATCCAACTCCAGAAGTTAGTCTTAAGATATATTTCCATGAGTTAATAAATGTCTATATATATTTGTGTATTATATGGGGAATATAGTGCTATTTTGTGTGGTCACATTGGATTGACAACCTTTTCTATTTAATTACTATATTAATGTTTACTTATCCAATCAGTACTTTTGATATAAAAATCATGATTGTACCCCAGGGCAAAAAAAATTTTTTGAAACATGTATACAAATGTAGAATGTGCTCATTCCATAATTGAACCATATGGATGTCTCAGGGAGGAGGTAGTGCTGCAGTTGTGAGAAGTTTCCACAAATTATGTCATATCTTTCATTTCCCTGAGAAGAGCAAAAGTTTAAGGGAAGGTTACTCCTTTTAAAGGGAGTTGAACAAATAAAAATGCAATTGTTAGTACAAAAAATATATATTCAATAATTCCACAGTATTTGAAAGATAGAAAACGACTGCAAGCAGCAGAAGGGATGCTGATATTTTACAGAGGGAAATAAATTATTTTGATATATTATTAATAATCATAATTAAGATAACCACACGAACTTGATGCATTAAGCCTGAGATGTTAAATTGGACTTCTGGTTAAGATCATTTTTCATCAAGTTACTATGTATGGAGTTAAGAAGAATATTTTGAATTTACTTTTTATTTCAGTTCAAAAGATTCTTGGTTGACTCTCCTCTCGAGGTATGTTTGCATTGTATACACAGCGTTGCTTACAAGACTCAAATCATGATAAATACAGCAATTGTGTGCTTGAAATTGAACTGATATCGTAATGAGAAATTCTGTCTTGGTCACTTATGGGAGTAAAAGGGTTGAAAACTTCTTACTATCTTCTGTTTAGCCTGCAAGCAGGCTCTCTCTCTCTCTCTCGTATTTGGGACTTATATTTAACAATTATTCCACGAGCACGCGTTGGATATGAGATAATAATAGATAGCCAACGGGGCGCGTAGCGCCGCGTTGGCTACAATCATCTCGTATCCAACGAGCGCGAGTAGAATAATTGTTTTATTAAAAACGTTAAATCAAGTTATTAAATTTTATTAAATTTTTAGCTCCATTTTAATTTTAAGCTGATACGTACGCTTACCATTATTTGTAGATTATGGTATATTGGCTGATATACCATAATGGCTAAGCCAATAAAAAGTCTTGAATTGCATTATCCAATTATCTAGTTTTTAATAAAAAAAAGTTATTGAAACCCCTGCAAGACTACTTTCGTCCGGACAATGGACGTATATGATCAACTTCACGATAAAGATGACTCACTTTTTGTATCATAAAAGAAATTAAATACAATGAAACCTCGAAGTAGTCGTTTGGGCATTATTTTTGTTCATTACCAAGGTAGGAAAGTTAAATCTTTGAGTATCTCCGTCTGATAAGTGTGTGCTTTAAATACTTTTCAGCACACAAGAGGACCAGGAGCCCCACCGATGGGCTTTGGATCGTTTCATCAACAATATTTTCTCGACGGTAGGTAATTCTGTTTGGAGCTCACGTACGAGCTATGTAAATAGTATTTACTTAACAAAGAGATTCCATGTTGCCGGGCGGTTGTTCCGTAATAGAGATATTGGAGAGATTTAGCACCGCATCTACGTAAAACGTGAGCGACAAGAGTGACCACGTGACCTTATTTCTCCCGCCATTTTTCACATTTACCGTATCACGTAAAAGCGGTGCTAAATGTCTCTAATGCACATGACGTTTAACGGCATACGAGAAACGGCCACTTGACGTTTGCCGTTTGCCGTGTTCACTTCTTGCACTTAAGTTTCACGCACTTAACAAAGTGTTTTAAAATATATAAAGTCAATACAATACAGTTGTTTTACCTCAGAGAAAGAGTAAAGAAGCTTTGCCTCAAAGTACGCGGTTGCTAATACTTAGAATACACT